AATTATTGTTTACATTGTGCGTAACAGAAAAAGCGATCTGGGCAGGCATACTTACTTTTAATTTTTGTTTCCAACGCTTTGCTTTTACTTCTCTTCATCTCTGAACTGCCACATTTATCGCCGAATCTCTTTTTTCAGAATAAAAACCCAAGAACAAAAAGGCGTCGTACAATAGAAATTACGATGTTAAGATTCTAATTGACATATGTAGATAAATTATTATTTTACATAATAGGAGAAACAATCTGCGCGTGCATATTTTTAATTCCTATTTCCAACGTTACTTTTGCCTCAGCCTGTCTTTGAACCGCCATATATTCATCTTAAAATGAGAGTCCAAGATTGCGAAGGTGGCGCGCAATGAAGATGACGTTATTAGAATCCTAATTGGCATGTGGATAAATTAGTGTTTCATGCTGCGCATAGCAGGAGAAGCGAGCTACGCAGGCATACTTTTAGCTTCTCTCTCCAATGCTTTTGCCTCTGTACCCACCATATTCATCTCTCTGAATTCAAGAACAAGAATCCAAAACCGAGGGAGTGCCGCACGATAAGGAAGACAATATTTCAAATAGGAATCTTATTTGACATACAGATTCATTATTGTGTCACGCTGTGCGTAGCAGGAGAAGCGATTTGAGGCATAATTTTAATTTCTATTTCCAATGTTATTGCCTCTGCCCATCTTCGAGAACCACCATATATTCATCACTGAAATTAAGAACGAGAATCCAAGACCGAAGGAGTGGTACGCGATAGGAATGACGATATTTCAAATACAATCCTAATTAACATACAGATAAATTATTGTTTCACGCTGTGCGTAACGGGAGAAGCGACTTGAGGTATAATTTCAATTTCTACTTCCAATTCTTTTGCCTCTGCCTATTTCTGGACCGCCATATATTCAACTCAAAAATAAGAACCGAAGATCAAAAGGGCGGCACACAATGGAAATAACGATATTAGGATTCTAATTAACATATAGATAAATTATTATTTTATCCTGTGCATAGCAGGAAAAGCGACCTGCACCGACATACTTTTAATTCCTATAATATTTCAAACGCTATACACTTTTGCCCCTGCCCATCTCTGAACCGCCATATATTTATTTCAAGAACACGAGAGCTCAAGATGAACGAGGGTATGGCGCGCGATGCCATGGGAATGACGATTTCCGGCTATCCTATATAGTGTGTGTTAACGAGATTTCTATCCAGAATTATCGAATAGCGCCAAGTTTGCGGTAACGTCATCGACGAATTGACGGGTTTCGTACAGTTTCGTATAGAATTACCGTCGCGATGGGCGAAAGCGGAGACGCTCGATTAGTATCGCCGCCGTTATCGCGATATGATGCTTTTAGTTAATTAGCGTACCAACAAGTGTCAGGCTGACACGATGCACAAGAGACCGCAACTGCCGCGGCATTTCGTTAACAAGATTTCGTCGGTGTCTTGAATTATCGAACGCAACTGCTCGCGCAATAATGTCAACGGCGCGAATCGATATGCACGGGTTTAATATACAATTCTGTTAATTAGCGTATATGGAATCACATCAGCCAGATGCTACTAAAGAGATAGATATTTTAGAATTTTAGATTATGAAGTATTGATCAATATCGTCGGCCCAACAAAAGATTATTGTATACATTGTTTAGCACTTTTGCCTTTGCGCGCTTATGATGAATATGAGAGAATTATGTTTCTCAATTAAAATTATTTAAACTGCGAAACGACAATTTTTTTTTACTGTATTATTTATTATTGCCGAGAAAAATTATTATTTATTTTAATCCGCTTTCATGTATTAATATTCATCAGAATTCGTTAGATCGTTGAGATAGTTTGTGTATCACGTGTATAATACCCCGGGAAACAATTTTTCATATATATTTATACATATAAAACATGTCCATACATGTTTTCTTTCTCTTGTATAATTCCTGTTCGTATATACGAGAAAACTAAGAAGAAGAATTAAAAAATAATTAAAAAGATAATTTTTACATCGTTTTTCACAAAAAAGTAAAATTTGAGGAAATGAAAAAAAATTGCCCATTATATAATCATATATATAAAATATGATTATATATCGAATGTTGTCTAATCAAAACTTTACTTTTTATAAAAAGAACAATGCAAAAGTTATTTTTCTAATTATTTTTCTTATTATATATAAAAACAGAGAGTTGAATTATACAAGAGAAAGAAAACACATAATATATATTTTATATATAATTATATACACAAAATTTTTCTCGGGGTTTTTTACGATATCTTCGATTATACGCATATGTATACAACGTTTGAAATACATTTCTAGGCCAAGGATGAATTATATTTCATTAAACTCCGATTAATTTAATTCGATTAATTAGTTTATCAAGCAACACCTATAACGTGTGTATGTACTATTTTGTTCACGTAGAGAAGATTATTAATCGATTCCTTGCTGTTTGTCACGCGGGAAGGAAGCCCGAAAGATCGGAATAGGATAACGAATTATATATATACGATCGAAAATTTTGCCGTGAGAAATTCTGCCGCTCGGACTAATTGCCGATTAAATTGGGCTTGGCCAAAGTCGCCAAACGAGCGAGATTCAGTGCATTCAGCGTCCCCCAAAGTTGAAGAATTCGGGGAATTGCCGGAGGTCCATCCCACTCTCATTCCGGGAAATTGCCGGGCGTTAGCGAAAGGGCGCTTTAACGTAACGAGGAGACGTCAGGGACTTATTATCCTTTTGCTGAATACAAGACGAAATAAATCGTATAAATGGCATAATAATTCGACCCTAATTGAAGATAGATATACATGTCACCGTGGTCGACGGGAAAAGGAACATTCTTTGCCTTATTGCCGCTTATTTAATTACGACGCTTATTTACGAATGATTCACGTCGGAAGGACGTGGGGAGGAAAACGACAATTGTAAAATGTACCGCTTTTTTTTTAATAATTAAAGTCACCGGACTAGAAAGTAAAGCGGTATTATTTTCCGACGAAACCGGCCCCGCGATTTTTTCGTGTGTATCGCGAATAAATTGGAAATCGTTTCGTTCGGTTCGATACGTCAACAACGACATTCACGTTGAAATTTAATTCGACGTGCTCTATGATTCTATTTACGTCACAGAGCGTTTCTCCCCGTGACGCACGTAAAGCGGTCCCGCTCGAGTTTGCACGAATTCCATAAATATTGGTGCCAAGCACGGACAACAATAAAGATTCCGATTTATGAAGTTGCTCTACAGAGTATGAAATTGTTGCTCGCATTATAGATTATTATATACACACACATATAAAGCAAATGGGCGGAAGAATTTTCTCCACGAATTCTCTCCCCATTACAATTGCAACAGCTCTTTGTTATCGCAGTAATTTGATTAAAGAGGACCGTATATAATTGCCCGGGAGCAATTGCAACATAAAAAATATGTATATCCGGAATAATGAAAAATTTTTTATATAATTTTAAATTTTATTTTGTTGTCGCAGAATGCATGTTTGCTATTTTATTAATTATTCGGAAGATTTTGGCTTGCAATGGATGCGACATAAAATAAATTTACGACACCTTCGACCAAAATAACCGACATCGAGTTGCATTTGAAAATTATTATTTCATACGGACTTCTTATTTTGTTCACAACTCAACTATAATTTTTTCCGAAAATCTCTCAATTGCGCCAGCAATGTATACAAACTCAATTTGAAAGATGGCCGGAGTGCAAGGAAAAAGGAAATCCAATTATTAGAAAAAGCCAAGCTCCGATCGTGAAGGTTGAAGCCTCGTGATTTGAATTTAAGTCGTTCCTTTTTTACGGGACGCATTAAAATTGATTAAAACACGCATCTTATGAATATTCTGCTGTCGCTAACGGGAAAAACCAGGGAAAACTGAACGGCTGTCGCCATCTATCGGTATACTCTAGTACAACGATGCGTAATTTCTCCGTCGGATATAAAAATTTGTACACATTCGAAAAATTTTTAATAAACGCAATAAACATTTACATCCACATATCGCGATACATGTAAAATAAAGCTTGTGTTTTTTTTCCAAATGCATCAATTGTGTTTTATACTCTTTATTACCTGGAAACCTAACCTCCCACAAACTGTGATCGATAAAACAACCCCCCGGCGTTCCAGCAACTATATTAATTAAATTGGACGGGAAACTGTCAGCTTTACGATCGAGGCGATTTAAACGAGAGAGTGCCTTATTCCTTAAGATAATTATAAAAAGAGAAAAGCATGGGTTCGTATTCGCCTAAATTGTATTAATTTAATGCTTGCTGCGACGAATATACGTTCGTCGTTCGATAACGCAAAATTGTATATGCAATGTTTTTTTTTTATCGAGAAACGTGCTGAAATAAATGTTTCAGACGAGCTGAGTTTATCGAGTCCGGAGGATGAAAAGCGAATTTCGAGAAGCGAGGAGGACCGTTCGTTCGACGAAGTAATCGGGCACATCGAGGATTTGTTGTTAGGTACAAAATTATTTTACGGAAAAGTGAGTTTTTAATCGATAGAATTGCGTTTCACGATTTAACGAATTGATCTTCCAGAGGAAGACTTTCAGGCCCTGCAGCACAAATTTTTAGAAAAGTACTGGGACGTCTTCGAACCGGTAGAAGACAACAAATTAGTTTACACCGATATATTCAACGAATACGTGAGTTTCGTTCGGAAGCTTCAAAATCCTTCTTTAAATTGCTGCCGATCTTCTGTGAGACGCACTTTATATATTCCAGAATAAAGCTGTGGAGGCATACATCGTGGATTATCTGAAGAACGTCATGCCGCAGTTCACAGTAGACACCCTTTTACACCAATTAAAGTGATTATAATTATAGAATATATAATCAATAAGGACAATTTCGCAGACTTCTAATGGATCTCTCATTCTTGTATGTTTGTGCGACACGATAAAATTTAGCGAAAAGCAAACAGAGCTGGAAGGCGAAGTCTTTGAGGTATTGTCAACGATAACGGACTTCCTGGCTTTTAAAGAAATGTTTCTGGATTACAGAGCGGTACGTTACAGAGCAAGATTATTTAAACTTTTTTTTCGTATGATCTACGTGTATATAATATAACGAAGAGTTCTTTTTCTCTAGGTGAAAGAAGGTAAGGTCGCTGATCTCAGCTGTGGAATATCCGTAACGTCTCTGAAATCCTGTAATACAGAAGACAGCAAGGATTCAAGATAATACAGATAATTTTAGCACCGAGATAGTCTCTTAGATGAAAGCTGGAAGACAAAATACATGAATAAGAGGCACGAAATGTGATGTAAAAAAATCAGAAATATTACTCTTTGTGTTCAGTGAATTATGTAATTACAAAAATCTGTATTCAGTATATCACGTACATTTACAAATAAGAATATAAAAATAATTCGAGTATCGTCTTTTTTTTTGCGTTTTATACAAAGTCTCGCAACATCCTATAATACTTGGATGTGATCTAAAATGTTGAATCGTTGAGAGCCTGTTTTTTCTACTGAATCCACAGCAATAATATCCGCATAAGATGGTACCGTATCTCTTGTGTCACATACTGTAATGCTTCGATAGAATACGTGCAACCTCACTGCACTTTAAATTAAAATAAAATTTGTATTGGAATATTTATCTATGACAGAGAATAAAAAACAAACCTTTTAAACAAAGCTAACTAGCAACTGTATATTTACTGTATTTAAATATTAAAATATAAATTTTGCATTCAATACTAATGCATTAGAATCTCCATTTGTACAAGTTTGCTGTTTGTCTCGTTTGGCATACGATATGGCAACGTTCCCGCGAAACTCGTTAACGCTCGGGCTTGCTCTCGGAGATCGTGCAACTGCTGCTCCCTCGCGATTTTATCGCCTGGTTCCACCGATCGCAATTTCTGATACTGACGATACAATATTGTCATAGTGGCTAGAAGAACATCGGCTAATGTGCCAGCCACTTCGGGCGACACCCGACGTAAAGCGTTCACTCTTTCGTCGACTTCTTTTACTTGAAGAGGCAACATCTTCGAATCCGCAATTGTCTGAAGAAGAAAACGTAATATTATTGAAACCTTCTCTCTTAAACTCACTACAACGTATTATTCTCACTTATTTATTTTATTAAAAATGTACTTACCCTAAGTGCGCTCTGATATTGTTCATTGTGGAATTGATCGAAGAAAACCATAAGATCCCTCAAAGTATAGAAAGAAGACACCACTTCCGAAGGTGCTTGGATTGCGATGTCTTTATACCTAAAAAGATTTTCGATGCTTATGAATGACAAGCTTAATTTAAATTTGAAGATATTTGCGTAACTGATGTAGTCGCGTAAATCGTACCTTGTACTAATATCCATGGCTGTGACTTGTAACCGTGCTCTGAGAGATCCGGGCGGTCCTTTTTGGCTAACAACTTGCGTCAACAGCGTGCACATCAAACTAAGAACCTTCTCGTGATTTCTAGCTAAATCGTACATCATGACCGCATCTTCCAGCAGACCTTTCCTGTACAATGTTTCGGCACATATATTTATCACGTCGTCCATATTGATCTGGAATTGATCCAAGATCCCTGGAAGTCTACGATCTTTGTCGAGCTTTCCGACCAACAAAACGCGGTTCGCAGGAGAAGCATCTACTACCATTTCCGCGGCAGACGCAGCGAACATATTACGATCATACGGGTCCTTCATACATCTAAAAGCAAAGCATCAATGTAATATCACACTTGTAATTTAATGACCAATTTCAAGCGATAAGAGTGATGATCCTACCTCAATAAAAATAAATAATGGAGGCCTTCTTTCGGGTCTGATGATTCAAATCTTTTAACATACAACAATATCAGTCTAGCGAAATTCAGTCTCTTCGCTGGCGGCTTATCGGCGGGATCCACGCTTATCAGAGGCGCTAAAACGCTTTGACTGACAGCCAACAAATTGTGTTCGTGCATGGCGGCGGCCAGATGAACAGCATGTGGCAAATGCCTCGCTCCAGCGCCTGTGGCTAAGAATTCTATCGCTGCTTCAAACTGCCCGGTCAAAAACAGCATCGAAAAGTACAAAAATGGCTGTTCGTGCGCGTGATAATAAGTTTCTCCTAAAAATTGCATCGATTAAAACTTCTGAAAACACCGAAAGCTCTCGGTTATCTGAAAAATTTATACTACCATATATTTCTGAAATTGTAGTCTGTAGATAATCCAACGTCAGTTTATTCTCAACGTCCGCCTGATCTCTCACTTGGCACAACTTCAGCCACAAATAATCGTCGGCCGTGGATATCACTTCGGAGTGTAAATCATCCGGCTCGCAAGGAACCAAGACACAATACGCCGCTCTCTTGTACGGATCGGTGACGGATCGTACTTGCTTCCTGTAGTGCAGCTTCAGGATGGACTCGGCGCGACTGCTCGGATGATGTTGTGGATCGTCGCAGGCTTCCTCGAGGGCCGTTTTAAATTCCGGAAATTCTATACTGCATTGATTCAAGCACTGCAGCGCGGCTTTATAGTCCCCAGCTCGCATGCAGTAGTACACTAGCGGCCACAACGGCTTGTGTTCTACCATAGCATCCTCCAGATCCCTCAGATTTTGCACTTTGACACCCACGAAGCTCTTGACCAAAGGTATAGTGCCTGGAACGCCACCTCGTTTCGCTTGCATCAGATTCTCGTTGATTATGGAGTTCATGAAATCTCTGTATCGGTTTTCTAGATACTTTTTAGCTTGCGAGACGATTCTCTGTTCGATCACAGAGCTGCTTCTGGATTTAATTTGATCTCCTCTGGGTGTCGGCGGAATATCAACCATACACTTCACCATTTGCCATAGATCCACGATCTTCTTGTCGTTAAAAGACTCGGAGGCTCTAGAGAACGCGTTAAACAGGCTGGGCCGCGTTACACCTCTCAGCACGTGATCGTTATAAGTCTGCAATTCCTTCACGTAGGCAACTTCTATGTTGGAGAGACCGCTAACCATCGAACCGGCTAGTTTTGTACGCTGCGGAGCACCACGTAAATCCACTAACTCGCCGGACGGCGCGGTCATGGCGTTTATTATCTCAAAACGCATTTGCTTCCATTCACCCAGCATATGTTCCATTTGTTGAGCTCTGGTAAGCTCAAATGTCTAAAAAAGAAACCCACTTTCAATTTCTCTATGGCATACAGATAAGTATACAGATATTGAATTGTTATTACACATACGTCTTTGTGGACTTGTTCGATGATGGAAAGAATTGCATTCTCCTTTTCATTCCTGAGATAACTGACAATGTCGGTGTCTGCGATAGGATCTAGGGGCTCAAACGTGCGCCTTGCACTGAGCGAATTTAACTTCTGTGAGATTTGAGACAGATCTATTCCTCGGGAGCCTAGTAAGACATGACTGAAATATTTATTTTTACATTAACATTAGGCGTTTTCCAATAAGGTACATATATGACATGGTGTTCAACATAGAATGTTGAAATTGTGAGTTATACTGCTTGATACTGTAAAAATCCAAGTAAACATATAAAATGTCTCAGTGTTACCAAGATATAGCAAGCAATTTTATAATGAGAAATGAAGCCGAGAGTCCCAACAAGTTCTGACGAAGAAGGTACATACGGCACATGCAAAACAAAATCGGAGTGCAGAGCAATTTTGAATTTCTGTGGAAAATCTACGAGAGATCATTTATCAGTTTAACTGGATAAGAACTTACGCTTGCGCCTCATTGTCCTGCGTGCCCGTTTGCGTGACGCGAGACCACAGCTCGTTGGACGCCTCCAATATCTGTCGCAGATTTCTGTCGACCTGCGGCAGATCCTCGTTTCCCTCGACGGCTGCGGACAGCTGCTCCGCCGATCTCAGCAATTCGCTGAAGCCGGAGTCGGCGGTAAGTCGCGTCGTGTCGGCGGGCAACATATCCGCGTGACCGGTATCACCCATGCCTCTCCTAACTCCTAACCTGACGATTATCGGGGGCAACGCCGGGCCGATCTCGTTACTCGTAAAATCACGCGGCAAAGATCCAGTAGATCCACGGAATGTGGAAAACAGGGTTGCGTTCCAAAATTCACTCTGGGTAACTAAAATCTATAGTTTACGTCACGTTTAGTTAACTAGAGTGAATTTTGGAACGCAGCCAGATGTATCTGTAAAAGTTCGGAAAGTTCCTAACAATAAATGTTATCCCTAGGAATGCGAACTGCTATTGGCTCTTACCTTTGAACCCAACCAATCACATTTAAATGCCATTTTGCCGCTCGATGAGCGGTCCTCTGTTATTGGATACATCCGCTGTGACGTCACGTAAATTAAATTTTGTCCCCTTTTTCAAAACTCTTCAAAATCGGTCAATTATAATTGTCTCTGTCGTAAACTTTGCATTTTCATATTAATATTAACCTTCGCTATGATTCACCAAGACGTTGCAGCCGCCCCTTACCATGCGATGATTCATTTAAGACGTCGCAGTCCCCTACAATGCGATCGATAATAATATAAAATACGCCTCGGCTGTACCACCCAGAATGCCGGCAGGAATCAAAGGATCTCGGTGAAGAAGCGTCCGAATGATAGCGCGAGAAAAAAAAGTCGAGAGCTAATGCAGTATGACTCAAGTGCATCCTTCGACTCCCTCCAAAGCGTCCTTAGAACCTTCTAAAAGGAATTAATTCTAACCAATGGAAGCCATAGAAGCCTCCCATAATTACCATCTCTATTCGCTCATTATTCTATTATTATTATTCTTCTATTATTATTATTCTATTATTATAATAATATTATTATAATAATATAATAAATTTTAATTTTAATTCCTCGTAACCGATCGGCCAGACGCACTGAAATACGAGAAGAACCGTGAGTGCGGATGCAAAGAAAGTATATAAAAAAAAAAAAAAGGGACAAGAAAAGATTTGTTTACTTGCTCCGACTCGCAGGAGAACATCGCTTCTTCTAGGTTGACCTGAAATACCTTCACTCTTCTCTTAATGCCATTCTTCGCGCACAACGGACAGAATTTCTCCATCCTAGCTGTAACAATCGCGGCGATTAGTTTATTTCACACGAAAACAGGCTCGATGGGGCGGATGTAAACAATGAATCGTGCAGCTTTTTGCGCACGAACTTCGTGATTGCAAAATAAAATAAACGTACGTTCCGTAGCTAATCAAGCGCAACTAATAACGCCTCGGATGTTTTACATAATTAAATATTGCAACGTTTAACTATGTAGCTTTCGTCAACGCGTGCTCTCGAGCCGCTAAACGCGAATAACAATAACCTACGAAACGCCGGCATTTCTCGCTGGGGCAAAAAAAAAAGCGAAGCAAAGTCCATCCTTGCCGAGGATCAAAACCGCAACTCGAGAGATAATTCCGATCGTCGGTAACTCAGAGAGAGACCCTAAAATTCATTGTGTTGCATTCAAATTTTCGGAAAGAAGAGAAGAAAAATTGTCAAATATTTCAGAAAATGCTACGTCGAATACCGTGTTTAGATACTTACATGTATTTGTTCAATATTCTTTACGTTTCATTTGCAGTTTTTGGTCTTGAAATTTTATCGCTATCGCTTCGCAAAAACTTGTACCTCTGTAAAAAACTTAATGCGGACACAGATTATATCATTATATATTCATTATAATATACCAGACCTCTGTTGCTCTGTTGCGATATCAGATTGTTATACATTATACAAACTCACACACTTTAGTTTAATTATCGGCCGCTTGGTGCCTATCACCTTGTACCTTTGCGATTATTTAAGTTAATTGCAAAATTTATGTTATACATTTATATTAGAATTTATACTATTTTAGTCGAAAATCTTGCAAATAATTGGATAAAATTAATTCTTCAATATTAACTAGGTTTTATTATTTAGTTTAATCCCACTATTAGCTTCATTTCGGAAAAATATAATTAACAAAAAGTTTCCTTAATTCTCGATAGCGGTTGTTTTGTAATGATTCTTATATGAGGATGAAGCATAGATGGGTACTTTGGATCCTACAAGGCAGAATTAACTCATGGTCGGATCTTGTATACTCATAAGATCGTTCTCGTCATACACTCGAAATGTTGCATTGGTCCATTTTACTTGCTGGGGATGGTATATAGTCTTAAAGACTGTCCCAGACATTCGGACGGTCTTTTGAGTATACGTTCGGACTGTGAATATTGTTCCTAAGGATCTGGTAGTCTGATACTAGTCAGAAAAGCGTTTACCTTTACCTGGACCTTCCATTTAAATTTCTAAGCTCAATAAGACTGATATCACCTAACCCAATCATTAGGAAATTGTTTCTTTATTCGGTTTTTACCATCACATTGGCTTTAACTCAATCTCATTATAATAGGAACTAATAAAATTCAAACAAAATATAAACATGGCATATATAGCATTGCACGTGCGAGGATAACCGTGGTTGAATCGATTAGGTATTGATCATAAATTCGAGATAGATATTGGGACACAATACTATGTCGTTGCCGACGATTTGTGTATCGATCATAATTGTATTTAATCTTCGATCATCCTCAAACTATACTGCTTTAATCGATACATATCACAGTAAAAATCGAGTAAAAAAGAGCAGTTTCCTTGTTCATTTAATATATTAATAAGTAATAATAAATATTAATAAATATATTAAACATTATTATACAGTATTAATATAATACCGCCGCCACATGTGTTCAATATAATTAAGGGCGTTAATGCCGCCGATCGTCAGCTATATTGTGATCAGATTTCAATAGTGAGTGGGTGCGGGCAAAGCCCCCCACTTCACATATATGTATCATCCACGCATCTACTAACTTAAAAAGTCTAGGTAATGGTTTAGGTGCTTAAAGGCTGAACTGGTAACTTGACTACCCTTTTTTTTTTTTTACAAAAGCTGTATTTCTTTATTTTTGCAATATATCCACTTTCTGGCTGTTATGCTAAAGTTAATAAACTATATATTTTTGCAATATATGACAACTAGGCTGATAGCAGATATTTGTTCAGATATCGCAACGGATCCGGTATCATCTGTGTCCGCATTAAACTCGTGTTTTGCCGATATAATCTGACCAGCAGATTGTTGGCAGAAACCGAGCAAAATCTGTTCATTATTTAAACATTTAATTTGATAACTTTTATTCGAAAAATTCACCTATCTATCAAGTTTCATGAATTCTTCGAATGCCAGATTGATTTAAAACATCATAGCTTAGGTCTCTTTTTTTGCCATTTTATGAAAGTCGCTAAAAGCATTTAAAAGTCTTATCATACACATTTCTTTCGATTCAAAATTGAGTTTAAAATTTAAATTTCTTTATTCAATAATGATTAACACAGAATTCTTCTCTTTATTATATAATATACACGCACGCGAGTGCTTTTGTAATAACAAAAAAGGATCAAAATAAAATAAAATTTACGCAGAAGTTATATTAAAGCAGATACTAATGCAAATGGAAATATAATAAATAAAATAGACAAGTAGCCAGATCACTCATAGGGGTATACATATGTATATATTTTTTTTTTATACATCCGCGCAACGTAAATCTTCTATTATCAATAAAAAGAGCGAAAATTACGATAGAAAACTACCGAGTCCTAATAATTCTCCACGAGAGGTCTCTAGTTCAATTTGTCAACTCGGCGGGCGATATTCCAACCCAACCTATCATAACATGCCGGTGATAACAACAGTTGCGCATATCAGGTAACTGATACTTCAAACAAGAAGAGGAATGCAGTTTAGTTAGTTCAGTGCCAGGATGTCTGGATAGATCTAAAGAAGAAGAAGAGGTGAAGAATGGATTCGTATCGATCCTTCGTGGAGAGACTCACACGGGCTGTGCGCACTCAAGATTTCGAAATCTTGCCGAATATCTTTAAGGACGGTCAGGGATCTCTCGCAATTGTTTCGCTCGAACAGCGGTGGTAAATATGAATTAATACACAAAAACAATGGTCTATGATATCTCATAACCAAATCTTATCGTTTGTAAAATGGAGACGCCTCTCGTTCTCACTGCCACAATAATTTTAACGAGAGACCGTTTTGACCATTTTTTTACAGTCAACTTTTTTGAAAACGTCGATATAAGCGAATGAATTTATTCGAATTTTCAAGCCTTTGAAAATTTTCTATAATTTTTTATTACGATTCGTGTTGAAAGGTGGCTCTTTTTACAAAGACTCCGTTTCCTTCTGATTGTACTACAATATAACAATTGAATTGTGTCATATACATATATACTTATCTATTTTAATTGACTAGGTGATAATTTGTCTGTATTTTTTAGAATCAGCTGTATGCAGCATACTTAATGGCGTGCTACGGTTTCTCAACTCCGAAATTAAAATACAAACAAATAAGTTCGCTGATATAGCAGTGAAAGAAGCATTTCACTTTCTACAATTTTTTGTCGAAAATTTTTATACTACTCCATGCTTTGTACGGTATATTCGTGGAGTTAAGGTATTACATTGTATTTGATATTTGTGTATTATATGAATATTGATTGATAGCGATTGAAAATAGTGATCAGTAGTATCAATGATATCTAATGATTAGAAAGAGCTTGTAATGTTACGTCTATTTCTAAAAATAATATTTTGAAGTAGATGTAAAAAAAATATGAGATGCTGCATTTTTTTATAAATCTCATAATTCAATTATAACAATATTTCTGTTATATGTTGCAGGATGTGTGTCAGTTTGCACTGACTGTAAAATGTAATCTTTATACCAAAAAAGCCGCTTGTGATGTATTTACAAAATTGATAGAATTATTTGAAGGTAATGCAAACTTGCAGCTTGGCGAGACAATCAAGAAGTTTATTAGAACATTTCATATTATCAGCCCAAAAGGTAAGAGCATTGGATTTCATTAGAATTATGTGCGGAATGTATTGTAATATTTCATAGAGATTTTTGCAGAAAGAAGATTGATATTTTGCGTACTCGGTAAAATAATCAAGCACAATGTAGGTGTCTGCTTGCCGCAGAAATGTCTCATTATTTTCGACCAAATGAAATGGGATGCGTTTAAGGAGGTAAATTCGGTAGTAATGATCTATAAAAACTGAGACAATTTATTAATTTTTGGAAACAATTTATATTATATTATAATTTTATGTGCAGTATAATCTTCAGACCAACATACCCACTGACTTCTGTATGTATTTCGATTCCCTTGCGGACATGTTGGACAGTGTGGAACCACCGGACAACATAAAGGAGACATTTTTCCGCGAATTTTACAAGTGGATTAAGAACTTTATCCAATCAAGCGAACAGCAAAGGGCTAAACAGGAAAAAAGAACAGTAATGGGATCAGCGATTAAGCTTCTAAATCGTCATATGAATCTGTTTCAAGACCTGCTGTATCCTGATTACAAGTACTGGCACGATACCCTCCGGAGCTTATCGCTCGAAACGACTAGTTACGGTGTTAGCGGACAGTACACATTGAAAAGATTTTATCGAGTTATCGGACAGATTCTCACAGATCAAAATAGTGAAAAGAGCGATTTAAAAGTAAGATAAATGAGATATATAAGACGATTTTTTATTCGTGACGAGAAAAGAACTTACTAAGTGAACTGAATCTCAAGGGGGGGGAGGCTTCAATAGATTAAAAATATATAGTTTCTTCAATTAATTCCAGTTTTGTAATTTATGATATGTTTTTGGTTTCAGTATTTTTTGGATCATTTTCATACAGAACTCAAAAAGATTAACTTAGATTTAAGCACATTGCGATTAGTCGTTTATGGCTTCAGTCAAATGGCTGCGCCATGCAAAACGCATCTGGATGAATCCAATTTAAGATCTATGTATTCCGATATAACCAGTTACGCGCTTCCTCTTTGTGCCAGGTAAATAAAATTTTAAATAACTTATATTAGAATTATATTGGAATTTTTTTATATTATTAATAAGAAGAATTTCTTCATCTGTTCTTTTTCAAGTGAGCATAGCCATTCGACGCACATAGAGAATGTCTGTTGTTATCAGGAAGCGCTCTCGGAAATACTGTGTCACATGACTGACGTTACAATTGAAAATATTAATGTCATCGTAAAGCTTAGTATTTATACGATCAAGAGATTCTCCGATTTAACAATATCTAATAAGGTCGGTGTTTACACATTGACCAGGACTATCAGCAATCTCGCGACCGTCAATAAAGGTCTGCTGCAGCGATATCTCGATACTATAGGTAAGTAAATTTATCTTTCTTTAACGATTAACTTTATTTAGATAATTTACAAAGAAAGTTTTACCCAAGATATACAATAACATTTCTCACTTTGAATTACCCAAAGGGTAATTACATAACGATAATAATAGTCTCGATATGCGATGTATTAAATCTCATCTTTGCGTCCAGTTTACGACGGCGTTGCGTGGAGTTGCTCGCATACGTTGGCGCTCGACGCGGAGCTGCAACGAGAGCTGAACAATCTGTCACAATCGCCAGTATGCTACAAGAATTATCTGCCACTATGGACGGAGCTGTTGAACGCCGAGAACTATCGCGGACACGAGGAGCTGGCGCAATACGTAGCGAACACCATGTTGGACGTGTGCATCGCGTTGATCAACCGGCTGAACATACAAGTGAAACGAAAGAACGAGGACACCGTGCTGTCCGACGTGGCCCTCACTCAGAGCGCCGTGAATCAGGCGGACTTCCGCGTGTTCGCGAATCTCGTGGATCTTTACGTGGACGTGATCGACGCGTCAGAGCTACAGTTCGGCAACACCGTGCACAGATTTCTCTACGAAGTCGTCCGATTGTCATACAGGTATCCGCTGATATCCGGTTTCTACAAACTGGTTCGGGCCGGTATGAAAATCCTTGCTCATATATCAGAAGAGAACAATGCAGAGTTGCAACGGACGAAAGAGCTTCTATCTAATTACTTGTGTCACACTCTCGATTTAATCCCCGCGTTCTCTAACGAGCTATTGATCGCGTGCCTCTATTTGATCTTGGATGCGCCCTTCGCGTACATCGAGGACGCGCTATCGCGCACACTGCCGGCGTTCAAGATCGCGTTCACCGTCGGCCTGAGTAACCTGGAACTCGCGTACACCGCGCTCGCTACTTTGGAGACGTGGACGACGTCGACAACTGCACAGAAACGGGAGCGAGATGAGCGAACGAACGAACTGTTGCGCGAGATCGTCGCGTACCTGGAGCCGTACTTGCGTAGCACGGAGAGCTCCGTCGAGCTCTCACAGGACTTAACGACGGCGAGGAAGCGCGTGAAGCGCGTAGACGTGATCGACACCGAGTGTACTCTGCGAAACTTTCAGCGGCGAGTTCTGCTGTTTCTCGGATCACTCGATCACGATTTGCTGACGAGCTTCGTGCACGAGCGTGCTTCTCGCAGCACCGGGGCGTCCTGGGATCACAAGAATCTACTCAAGTACAACCTATCGCTGCCGGACGCGCGACCGGTCATCCATTTCGATCGGATGCTGCCGCGAATAATTGAATAATAAGAATAATAATAATAGAATAATAATAATA